CCACCCAGGGCCGCCCCTATTAAGGACTACAGTGGGCTGTAGCCCACTGTCATTTTACTTTTATTTATTTTTACATTACTCAATTTACTTAAGTTTAAAATGTAAATAAAGAAGTACCCCCCATTTGGATTTAAGTAAAAAAATACTAGAAAATCAAATTCTCACCAAGTCAAAATATGAAAAATCAGTTTTACTGCAAAATACGATTTAGGCTAAAAATGATGGCTCATTAAGTCAATATATACTTCATACTAAAACCCACAAAATCAAGTTTTCTTAGTTGATGCGTGAGGAATAAAAGCCGCCAAAAATTAACTTGAGAAAATGATTATTCCGAAAACTCATTTTTCATACTTAGTCAATATTTTGACATAAAACAACTTTTCATGTATAATATGAATGCATGAAGGAATCTAAGGTCAATCTAGGTAAAAAGTCTTAGATGTTCATCCACTATGGTGTTAAACCCTTTTTGGTTTATGTTAAAACTTATTGAAAATTAGTCTATGAAGCTATGAACTAGCTTGGTTTATATGATTTAGTGTTTACTTTTATTTCTAGAAAGATTATAGAAATTGAAGTACCAAAAAAATTAATCATGAAAATTTAAGCTAATAACTTTAGCTAGCCTACCCGTTGAAAAATTCATGGTTCCGCTCTTGACTACAAGGATGCTAAGACTCGAACTCAGGACCTTGCCTAAGGGAGTAAATACTCCAAACCACTATACTAGTGGGTCCTTCGCTAATGAAGTTGTTTTAAGAGTAAGGAAAATGACATATGTCATTAGGAAAAGGGAGAAGGTCCAAAAGAGAAGATTAGAGAGAAGGTTGTTAGCATTCCCCTTCCTATTTTCTCATTAACTTTCTCTTCCCATTCATCATGTAAATTTGAAAGAACACAAGTCTATCTTTCCACTCACCATTATTTCTCCTTTTAATTATTAATGCAAATAAAACCCAGAACTCAAGTAAAAAAATTAAAAAACATAACCAAAACAAACACATCAACCTCTTCCTATTCTTCTTCTCCAATCACAATTTCAAAAAAATTCCCAAAAGACACCTCTTTGAAATTGGTACTTAGGTGACGAGAGGTAAATTTAACGACACAAACAAGACACAACAACATAAAAATCTTCACACACTTTAGACCTTCACCAAATACACATATGACTAGTCAACTGCTAGTCATGAACAACCACAATTAAGAGAACACACAGAGCATGCTACAAAGTACCTGCAACTCTAGAAGATTACTAGTGACAACCTAGGCACTCAGAAGGACCCGTCAATTTAGGCATCCCCTATGCTAGCAAAAACTATGGTGAAAGTTTGTGAAATCATTCTTATCAAGTAAACACCAAACAACAGATAAAGATGACTAGTCAACCACCAAGAACACAAACCCAGAAAAATTAAAGATATGCAAAACAAAATTTGTTCACCCAAAATACCACCATTGGGAAAAACTAGGAGTCATCAGCCGACCAGGCACTCCACTAAGTAGAAAAAGATTCTTACAAAGGAAACACAACCAAGCTCAAGAAACACCTAGATCTATTTAGGAATATAAGCTATACCTCCTTCGTGCAATCTTCTTCTCAAACTTAGCAAAACTTGAAGCTCAGTTCTTCATGGCAATGACAGCTCCTTCTCCAGCTCGTTCATCCCATGGCACTAGCTTGCAAGCTCCAACACAGACCGAAACCAATTTGGATTCAAAAGAAAATGACCAATTTCTTCAAGAAACCATACTCTTGAAGAAATCAGTCTTGAATCTGACCTAGATATAAATGAGAGAATGATTTAAGTAGCTAGATGCAGATTCGTGTTTCAAATGCAGTTTTTCAAATAAGAAATCAATTGGAAAAACTCATAGATGAAATATTTGGTTCTCTCTTGAGGAAGAAGAAGAGAAAGATAGCAAAACAATCTTTCCAAAACTTCCACACAAAAGAGACCGCTGCCCAAAGAGGAATTTCGTAGCCTTTACAGACAGAAATTCCTTTAGGTCAGAATCACACCTGGTAGCAGAGAGAGAAAAGAGAATAGGACAAAGAAGTTGGTTATCCAGCTGGAAATCCAACAGAGCAAGGATAACTAGTCATACGAGAAACAGATGACTAGTCATCATTTTATAAAAACAATTTAATGCAATGATATGCAATGATATGCAATGCACACCTTACCTTTGTCAAATTGCTTGAACCTCCATAGGATATAAGTTAGATAACAACACCAAGAGAAGCTTTTCTTAATCTAAACTTGAGCTTGATAAATAACAATACAAATCCTATTACAAAGTTGTCAAGAGAAGCAAAAAGAAAAACTCAAAATGCATACATTAACACCCTTTAGTCCCAAGTCCCTACAGCATGCCCCTTGCTTTCATTGAAGGCATGCTTCAAGCCTTCAACCCCAGCCAATCCAAAACCCAATAACCATGTGAGTTATTCAACCTAAAATCATACCAAATGAAAAAAAGAAGAAGAAAAAAAAATTCATT